CCCTCCCTCTTTTTCAGAGGCCTCATCTCCTTGGAGACCAGATATGCTGGATCCTAAACCTTCCCCCTTGGTGGGAGTCCCCTGGGCTCCCGTAGGACCCCAGGAAGTCAGCCAGGACCTGGGTGTTAACCCTTGGATGTCAGTCTCTTAAAGATCAAAGCCCTGAGGTTCCTTGGGGTCCAGACCCTCATCTCCTCCCCGCCCCCCGCACCCCAGTCATTAGCTTCTGACCCCTCCAGCCATTAGCTTCCATTGAGTGGTGCCCCTTGGCCTGTACGAGGAGCTTTGTCGTGACACAGAGCCAGGAAGGGCTGCCACCCCTGTGCGACAGCAAAACACGTTATTCAGCAGCCCTAGCTAACGCACTCATCAAAGGCGCCGAAGAAGGTTACAGTGGGAGCAGAAGTTTTGCCTTACTTTAGCTGTCTCCCAGCCCAGCTGCAGCTACAACCCATCTGACCGGGTGTCTCGGTCTGCCTGACTCTGCTTTACATGACTATGATATATTCCCCACCCCCCGCCCCCCGCCCCCAGGCCAATTGCTCCATCAGTGTCAGGTTGTTCGCTGAGGGCTGAGCAGAGAGCTGTACATGGGCCCAGGAAGAGGCATTGGGCTTTCGAGTATTGATTACCCCCAGAGGGTAGAGCGTATGGGGGTTGGGGAGATCACAAATCTAACTGAAAGGGGCTCCTGCTTTCTGTCGAGTTCTGAGGATCAATCCCACAGCCTGTGAGCTGGGGCAGTCAATGCCTGAGAGGGTGGGTTATTCGAACCCTGGAGAGAAAAGTGTTAGCCCAAGGGTAATGGAGACAAGAGGCCCAGTCCTCCACTCGCTCACCCCAATCTAATTCCCTTGACTCCTGATTTGCATGGGCGTGAGGGCCGAATCAGGCCCAAGGGGTTTAGTTCCAGAACCCCTGACGTTGAGGGGTTTCCCTATGATTTCCATTGTAATGCGGTCCAGACCCAGAGCTCCTTGCAGCGGCTTCTACAGTGCCTACGGCTGGATCCCTCAGATTTGAGGGTCAGATTCAGAGGGGTTGCGTCGATTACAGCTGGGGAAGTGGAAGTTCCATGTAACGTACACACTGTGGGCCTGGGAGGAGGTGGGCGTTAAGGGGAGGAAAGATAATTTAACTGACACCTTCCTGTCAGCTTCTTTCCCTGATGTGTTGCTCATTTCCAGCCCTGGAACGTGTAAGTTACACCAGCTTAGGTGCCTCCAGACCCACCTTGTACATCACCTCTGAATGGGGGCCTCTGAGGATGCGGGCTTGTTTCAGGATCCATGACACCTGGAGTCGATTTGTAAACTCCCAGGAGTTTGGAATGCATTCCCAGGGAGCAGCAAGGGACTGATATATTACTAGAGGCAGTGTGAATTTGCTTGAAGTGGGAAGCACAGGATGAGTCGTCTCCTTGTTCCGGATCTCCCTCATTGTATCCACACCCCTCTGCCCTACAACCAGACAGATCTGCCCATTGCAATCTTCTCTGCATTAGCAAAAGAAAAGCTTGGTTTATCACCCCTGCTTCCAGCTCCAATGGTTTGATCCTTGAGTGGGCACTGGGCTCACGTCTCAAAGACCAGCTCTGCCAAGCGGATACTCATCTGAAGACCCTGCTCCCAAGCTTCACCCCGGACAGACAATTGAGCGGAGCCAGCAAACCAAACTTCAGACCCTGCCCTGTGGTGGGATGCACTTATGATGCTATGTCTGGCGGATGAAGAACAAACCGCATCCTTTGTTTAAGTTTATTTGACTTGAGCGAAAGGGGGCTTTCCTAAAGATCCTTTGTAGCTGCTCATCAGAGCAGACCAGCTGCCCAGAAGAATACAGCCGCCCCAGTCATGCTGCTTGACTCCATCTGCTTTGGCAGGTCGATAGCTTGCGTTTTGTGAGAGGAAACGCAGCCTGAACCAATCAATATGAGAAAGTCCTTACTCCAGCAGCAGCATGAATGCTAGCAATGGCAGGGAGGCAGCCCAGAGCTGTCTGCAGGGACGGACCACTTCTTCATTACAGTGAAGGAGAGGTATTTAACGTATGGGCGAATGCCCAGTCGCTCTTAGCAAGGTGAAGCCAGTCACGCGGCATATTGCAGCCAGTGCTACGGTCGTCATCTGAAAAACCCACCCGCAGTCGTGCTACTGCCTTCAGTGGTGGGCCAGGAAGATAGATTCAACTGGAGGCAGTTCAAAGGAGAGCGTCAAAAAACAATCGGGGAGCTGCAGGGCTTGATTTGCGAGGAAAGATCAAACGAATTTAAATATCTTGGCTCAGCAACTGCTCTGCAGGAACCTGGTTTCCGCCTGCAAATATCGGAAGGGGGCGGAACGCATTAGGGTGGGATTAACGAGGAGCGATGGGGTGTGCGATTGGTAGGAAACCAGCGAAGGACAATAACTCGCAAGTGATGGGATGTCTTTTAGGAATGGGATAGCTGCAGGCTGATGCCATGGGGCGGTGAAACAGCCTCCTGGAGAGATTGAAAACGAAACTGGGCAATGGACTGGAGACTAGATGGAGGAGGGGGAAACTCCTGCACCAGCTGGGGGTGGACCTGGGATGCCCAGCAGGTCTTTGCCGTCTTTAATTTCTATAGGCCACCTCCTCTTGTTCTCATTCAGGCAAAAATCCCACAGAACTCACCTACGGGTGGGAGAGTTTGGCCTTCGTGGATGCTGGAGGCTGTGCGTTGGGGCTGGAGAGCAGGACGGTATCTTAATTGAGGTCATTCTCCTCCTTGGGCTTGGTTTTTCATTCAGCCATTTACAGCGAACTCCAGAGAGGGGCCAGATCCTTAACTCTCCTCTCCTAGGCCAAAATCCCATTGTCTCCCAGTAAGGACTGGGGAGGATCGGGCACATAGGTTGGGGGTGCAGAAAGGAAGTCACAACGTTCCCCTCCCCCCCTGCCCCCACAACACACCCCCTTGAGTTTCATCCTAATTCTCCACTTTACATTAGGGATCAGTCTCACCTTCCCCCATGCCTTGCCCTGCCAGCTGGAGCCATCTGACTTAGAGAGCTCCTTGTCCCCTGGGGCTAGAGGACATTTTGGGAGGGGACAGGAACACCCAGTGTGTGCTGGGTAATTCTCAAACTGACATCCGTTACCAAAGCCACAATGAAGGCCGGTAATGGTGTGATGAGCACCACAGAGAGCATTCGGCCAATGTCATGCTCCGCTGGGTCGTGCTACATGTCAGCTCCCCGCTCGGAGGCCTAAGGTTGCTGTTGAGATGGGAGAGAAGCAGCATTTTCAACTGCCTCCTTTCACAAGTGCACAATTAGCTAGTCAGGGGAGGAAGCAAGACAGGGTTTTCTTTTGATAAACTCAAACCCGAGGCAGAAGAGAAGAGCGCCCAGCCAGCGCGAGGCTGCAGAAACCAGGTCTGGGCAAAGATGGGGGAACTTGCTGCGAATCAAGGAATCCACTCACCTCTTTCTTTCTTATTATGTGTCTTATAGTAGCACCTACTGACCCCAACTGAATTCAAGGCACCTGTGTGCTAGGGGCTGTACAAACCCATAACAGCAGACAGCCTCTGTTCCAAACAGCTGGCAATCCAAATAGACAAAGGGAGTGTTATATTGCTCCTGCTTTACAAGTGGGGAAACTGAGGCAGCAGACCCTCGGAAATGAGCCCAGATCTCCTGAGCCCCAGAGCGGTGTGGTAGCCCCAAGACCATCCTTCCTCGCTTGCAGTGAGGGACAAGGGGAATTTTACCTTAATAATAACGGCACTACAGTGTTCTCCAGTAATGGCCCCAAACAGTGTAGTTGCAATGTTTAATTAATACAGTACACTACCACAATCTCTCCAGACACTATGGTAGCACTCCGGTGAGACAGGATTCCTCCGATTCTCCCCTGCAGCATGGGCACCGTGACAAAGACTTCAGGCCCAGTGACCCTAATGCCAGCATCCCTGGCCAGTATAGGGGAATTGCTTGCCCCAGTATAGGGCACTCCTCCTCTGCACCCCTTCCTGCTGCCGATGTATGGACAGGGACTGGGGGGAAAAGGAATGTGACGGACTGGCAGTCCCTGGTTGATGTATCAGCCCCTGGGGACCACTAACAGCTGCAATCGTTTAGAGCAGCCTTCAAGCTGCTCTGAATTATGCCGCACTCCCGAGCTGCACACAGCTGGCCTAGTTTCAGGAGGGGGGAAAAGACACTTCCTTGCTTCCCTCCCCCCCACAAACTGTACTGGACACATCTCAGCTGTAACGGAGGGTCTGGCCCAAACATTTTGGACCATTCTTGTAGAATACCATGCTAGCTTTTAAAGGAGGGACCCTGACGCCTTTGGGACCCTTGCTGCATAACGCCAGTCTCCAGTATTCATTCCCATCTGGGCAGTCCTCTCCATACCAGCAATCTCTGACTTAAAAGAGGACCAGTGGGATGGGCAGGTGAAAGGGGGGATTTAGTCTGCAGGTCGTCTTCCTCTTCAGGCTTTCTCAGGCTGCCTCGCCCAGGGGCATCAACGCGATGGTGGCTTCTCGGTGTTACTGTACTACAAATAAAGAATAAAATAGACAGGAGCAGAGATGGATGGATAGATAGATGGGTGGGGAGGGGATGTTGGGCTGTGGATGAGATGGATGGGTAGATAGATTTGGGGGGCGGGGAGGGGGTGTATACCTTAGGTGGATAATACAGAAGGACCCCCCAATGAAACCAGTTGATCGGCGCTGTGTGTAGCACTTCTCCCGGAAACCCAGTCAAGTACAGTGTGTCTCATTCAGCTCTTCCAGGGCCATGAATGGCAGCTGGCGAAAGGGAAGGGAGCTGGAAGTTGCATTCTGGTTCTCTTGCAGTTTTGTGTATTTCCCAGTTAATTGTCTCCCAGGCTCCTTTCCAAAGAGTCTTTGGTGGAGCAGGCAGATGCCAGCTTGTGTGTGTGTGTGTGTGTGTGCTACTATTCCTGGGGGTGGAGGGGAAGGGGGGGGCACAGGGAGGAGGGGCAGCTGCAGTGACTTGGGTTTTTGAAAAGCCACCCAGCCAGTGGGAGGGCAGCATCGATCGTTTTAATAAAACAGGGCAGAGCTTCAGGCGCAGAGGCAGGTGCTGTCCCGCAGCCAGCCGGGCTGCGTCCTTCTTCCAACCTGAGCCCGCCGGGGAGGTGAGAGGCTGCTGGGGCTGCGAGAAGCGCCTTCCCCCCCCGGCCGCTCGCCCTTGGCTTGGGGCACACACGGGAAAGACCATGGAGAAGCTGCTGCTGGTGCTGGTGCTGGTGGTCTCAGGGGTGAGTGAACCTGCGGGCTTTGGTGCCGGGGCCGGGGGGACCGTGCGCTCGGAGAGCCCCAGAGGAGGAGGCGCCCCCGGGGCGGAGGACGGGGAGGGAGGCAGAGGGGTGAGGGGTGGTGGGGAAGGGGGTAGGCGGGCAAAGGGATGGGGCGGGAGCGGGGGGCAGCCGGACGGAGGGAGAGAGGCGGGCAGTGTAGCGGGACAGGGAACGGGGTCCGGGCACAGGCGGGACGGCGGGAGGGGGGCAGCCGGATCAAGGGATGGAGACAAGGGGTGTAGCGAGTCGGGGGGTGCCCGGGTACAGGGGGCGGGGGAGGGGTGCGGTATCCGGGTGCGGAGGAGGGGTGCGAGAGGGATACAGGGGGGCAGGGGAGTGGTTAGCGGGGGAGGGATGCGGGGGTACCCGGGGGCAGGGGAGTGGTTAGCGAGGGAGGGATGCGGGGGTACCCGGGTACAGGGGAGTGGTTAGCGAGGGAGGGGTTCAGGAGGGTACCCGGGTACAGGGGCGAAGGGGAGTGGATAATGAGGAGGGGTGCGGTACCCGGGGACAGGGGAGTGGTTAGCGGGGGAGGGCTGCGGAGGTATCCGCAGGGGAGTGGTTAGCTGAGAGGGGGTGCGGGTACCCGAGTACAAGAGGACGGGGGGAGGGGTGAGCGGGGGGGACCCGAGTACAAGAGGACGGGGGAGGGTGAGCGGGGGGTACCCGAGTACAAGAGGA